TAAAAAAATGGTATTTCCCACTCTTCTTGAGGAAGGGATTAGGTGGCTAAGAGCAAAGTCAGAAGAGAAAAAATTTTATTGCCAATGTCTTTTATTCCATATATGTCTTTAAGTACTTAAAAGTAAAATCAATTTGATTTTTTAAAAAAAGTTTGACTATTATCATTTAGTATAAAAATTGGAAACTTTCAGGCACTATGGACACAGACAGATCAATAAAGCATCATTATGCATGGGATCTTACTCTATGATTTTCTAATCCACTCAAGCTCTAAGATAAGTGGCCTTCTGTGATGAGAGTGGACTAAAGACAGCTTTAGAATTTCCTTCCAGAAAGTCGTAAGGGTGAAGCATCAGACTCTGGGAGAGTCTGTAACACGCAGGAATTAAACAGATGAATGAAATAAAACAGTTCTGTGGGTCTCACATAGATCTGGTCAGAGGATAACATCACATATTCTGATACTTTTCTATGGAGAAGAGAGAAGTGAAGACTGATAGAAAGCAAGAAGAAAGGGAGTAAGGAGGAAGTAACACAAGGAGGCAGATACCTAATATAATAAAATGAACCCTGCCAAGCTATGCTTAAATTAAGCCAGAACTACTCACACACTGTTGAGTTTGCTGAAACTATATGTGGAATAGGCATAGAAAATAAAGGCAGGGAGCTAAGGCAAAAGACCAGGCACATAATAAAGAAGCTGATTAAGAACAGAAGAAACTCTCCAGTAAACCTGTGTAGTTTTTGGAGACAGGATGTGAAAGAATGAATCTTTATGGCAAGAACCACGATTCTCTCACAGTGCATGTCTCTTGCTGATGTCAAGTTCAGAAAAATTCCCCTGTGGCACCTGAGTATCTTAACATCCCTATTTTTTATGGCCCACTAGATCTGTCTAAGAAAACATGAGTCTATTATAGAAAAATTAATAAGACTTCAAAGCCAAAGTAATTAGAGAGACGTTGGAGTTTCTACATCTATCTAAGTAATGAAGCACAAGTTCAAAGTTCCTAGAGGCCACGTCACAGTGCTGCCAGCCTGTGAGAGGAGGTTCATGTTGAGAAAACAAAGGGTAAATTGATATCCGTCAATATGTATTCCTTACAAAAGTAAAGGTTAGCAAATGATGATCATACCCCATACTTTCATCACAGCAAACATTCCAATCAATAAGAACATCTTACCTGTATTCAGAAGTGGGTGCCTCTGGGTTTGTGGCCTACTTCAAGCAACCAGAACCACAGCAATAGGCAATTTCCTCCAGAATTCTCCAGATAACAGCTCTGATTTTGTTAGCAGACTTCCAGGTCAACCTGGAGTTCAGTTCCCCAAAATGACTACTGACTCCGTTATTATTTTGCATTTTTTAAAAAATAGATTCTAAACCATAATCTTCTTTCTCAAATATCTTTAAACACACACTTGTAATACAAATAAAATTCAGAGATGAGCTCAATTTAACCAAAAACTTTGTTGTATCCACTCTGATATGTTGGATAAGAGTAATAATGATGGAATTTGTGATGTGCTTCCCTAGAAGGATTTGGAAGTCAGAGGCAGCAAGACTTAGAAGACGTGATGATAAAAAATATCAATGATACCAAGAGAGAGACAGTGTGAAAACTGAGAATGAAGAGAAACTCTCAACATGGGGGATGGTGTGGTTACTGATAGGATGGCCAAAGGAAGCTGGCCTGAGGAAGGCTTTATCTCTACCTCAAGACTTCATCTTTGTCTGTTTCCATGTTTTCTCTCCTTTAAAAATGTCACAGAGTCTTTAAGAAATATCCATGTCCCAGAATCTCTTGCAGCAAATAAATAGGAGATGCAGAGCATATATTATTTTCCTTAAATAACATTTCAGAGAACCAATAGTCTATAAAAGAGATACTATAAATTATTCTGAATGTGTATTTTGACTTAACTCATTCAGTTCAGTATGTCTCTAGTAGGAGAATAATTACCCAAGATTGGTTCAAAACTTGAACAATAACACTCTGTGCCTTTCACTAAGATGGCAGTAGGAGACAAAGCTGAGGCTTGAGAAGAAACCTTCCTCCCTCCCAATCCCAGGCTACCAGGTGATATTGTTTTCTATAAAGTGGAACTCTAGTTGATAATTGGGTAAGAAGCAGCAAGAACTCATACTCTAAAGACACAACTTCATAAGTCAAATGAGACTAAGCTGTGAATCCTGACATGAAATCAACAAGAATATACTCCAATTACTGATACATGTTTTCTCTCCAAATTTCGTTGCATAGTATTCTCAAGTTCTTTCATTCGTGTGCCAATAATATGAAAGACGGATTAGAGAAGATAAGCCATACAAAGAAAATGCCTTTGAGTTTTTTCCCCCTTAAACATCTATACCTATTACAGGCTTCTGCATAATGCATCATTTTGATTCCAGTGTCAGCCATAATAATAGTTCAACCCTAAAATCTACCTCAGGAAAATGTGTCACATTTACTTTGTGATTCTACATTACTCTGTGTATGTCTGCATACTTCTGAACTAATGATCCTAGACTTGTTTAAAGAAACTTTTTTCTCTTTGAGACAATTATGGTTCAATTATGGTTCACTGGATAGTATACTACTATCTTGATGGGTTCTGTAAGATTAACAGTCAGCATCTTAAATGATTATCATGATAACTGAAAAGTAAGACTTCAAATTAAATAACCCCAGTCTGTAAATGAAAACCAGTTATATATGCTCAATGCTCTGATCAAGTGGGTTGAGAACATACCCTTGCTGCAATGTTTTCCTCCCAAGGCTATTCATGGTTCTGAATAGAAAACACTCTACCAGGTTATCCCAGCCATGATAATCCTGGAACTTACCTCTGCTAACATCTAGGATTGGATGGGATATAGGAAATTGGCTCCATGAACAAGTAGGACTGGAACAGGAAAATACCTATTGATAACTTGATCAAATAACCTTCACTTCTCTTCAAGTAAGTCTCAAAAGTCAATGCATTCTGGAAATGAGATTTTCCACCTCATGTGGAATTTCTATTCTCCAAAAAGTTAGAGAAAAATCTTCTCATAGGAATGATATAATTTCTAAAGAAGTCAGACTCAAGTCTGACATGTAAGATTCCATGTATGAAATGTCTAGAAAGAACAAATTTGCAGAAAAATGTGTACATCAGTAGTTACGTAGGAATAAAGGTAGGAGCAGGGTTTAAATGCAGATAAACAAGTGAGGAATCTGGTGGCAATGATGTTAATGTGATGGAAGTGATGACTGCAGAAATTTACAGACTTAATTATGTGATTGAGTTATAGGCTCTTGATCGGTGCCTTCAGGGAATAAAAATTATATCCTTAAATGCTGCTTAAAACAACAAAATATTCCAAAACTCCAGGCTTTGGAAAGAAGGGATGTCTTAATTAGGCTTTTAGCTATCGAAATAACATGAGAAATTTCTGCCTAATTAGAAATATTTTAACACAGCAAAATAGGACATTGCTTAAAATAACTGTAAGTAATGCCAAGATCTGTGTAAAACTTTCTATGGAATGATTGTTTATATATGTAACTTTTCTTACATTTCCTTAAGTTATAAAGAATGTGAAGAACTATGCCTTAATTAATTAATTAGTTTAATTAATTAAAAATGTGAAGAACTATGCCTTATTAATTCATCATACTGATGCTACATCTAAGAAAGAATGCTGATCCAGCAACTATATAATTCTTGAAAGATGGAATTATCAAGTCAATGAATGATATGTTAGATAGTTTGTTATCCTTTCTCTGTGTTCATTCCTCCAGGAAGACTCCAGTAAAGAAAAAGCCAGAGACCAGCTATCACTATGACTTCTGTGTGCTAGGATGCTTAAATGATTGAATTGCTCTTCCAGAATGCTCTAAAGACTACATTTCCTACATGCAGGATGGAGTTGTATCTGGTAAAGCAAAGTATACAGAAGTGATGATGGCTACTTCCAGATATGTCAGAGAAGCATGCTGTTTAACTACCTAAGATCTCTCCTCTCTGTGGATGCAGAACTGATATTTTCCAAGGGGGTTGGCCTACATCAAGGAAGAATCCCACAATCTCGAAGAGTGGTTTTGGAGAGCCATTCAACTGACACTAGACTTCATCTGAATTAGAAAGAACTCTTTCCATTGTTTTGAGTCACTGAAATTTTAGGATGCTTTGTTATACAAGTGAGTATTAATTAGCCCAGCTGGTATAAGACACAAGAGCACTCAATGGATATTTTCCCTTTTAATCATTATGCCCTATTCTTTCCAGTCTCATCTTTCTTTTGTCTTCCTCTTTCCCTTCCTCCTCACCTACAGTTAATGTTCACTTTTTAAGAGAGAGAAAGAAAGATAATGAGATGTTTTCAAAATGTATATTCTTAGGATCTTTCTTCAAGAGCTGGGACATTTGAGTGGACAACAGGGAAAAGGATGGATGGATGGTAATGCCCTTTACAGGAACCATAGTGAGTCTGTTTGGTTAAAATGTTGCATCATCTCCAAGAACAGGCTTTTGCCTGCCCCTCTCAAATCTCCAACAGTGACACATGCCAGGGAAGAAATGTCAGAGTCAGCAGCCACCTCTGGGTCATGAACTTTGCATTTATAGGCTACAGTATTGGGTAGTGGAGAAGTGCGTGCTGGCTGCTCTCAACTAAAGGTTTTTGTTCGCCCCAAGGGTAAGTTTCTGAAGACAACACATTACCATTGCAGTTCATTTTTAGGTGACCTCAGGATCTAGAGCCCTTTCCTCCTTTTCTGCACACAGAACAAATGCAAGAAAAGGGAAGAAGGGAGGACCCACCCCCATCAGAGATACAAAGACTTGTAAGCACTAACGCCCCAACCCTCCAAATTACCTGTGACTCCCCTCCAAACTTGTCAAAAAATAAAACAATCCAAATAAAAACCAGCGCTCATAAAACAGTAAACAAAATAAAGTCAGTTTTTCTTTTCTTTTTAAAGAACAAAATGAAACTTGAGGAAAAACTTACTGGAGTTACAGTTTATCCTGATACAGTCTAGATGGGGAAAAATAAATGAAAGATGAAATTGCATCCTTCAAGGTAACAGCTGCAGACATCCAAAAACAATCAGTCCACCCTTCCGGGGACAGACACACGCAAGAAATGTGGCCATTTTATATTTATATATATACATATACAATATATACAAAATTAAGGGTGGGTGTATATGTACAGTATATTAATTAGTAAATTTGGATACATATATATATACACACACACACATATATACACATATGTATAGAGATATATACTGGTATACATATATATCCACAATAGACATCAAGACTAATTCCTTCTATTTGTTTATTTATTTTTTGGTTTTCAAAAATTCCCTATTATTATGTATAAAATATTACACGGTTGGGTTTTGAAATTTTAATTTTGTTGTATTTCTGAAATTAGAAAAATTATTCCACCAAATACAGATTATAACCTATAATTTATGACCTTAAACTGATCTTTGAAAACATTAAAGAGAATTTTGAATTAGTATTCCAAATATAATCACCAGTCTGACACATTGTGTCAATTTTTTTTTTT